ATAGAGTAAGCATTAAAAACAGAACGAGAGAGATGTTATGGTAACCTGCAGCGGGTTTTCAGGGTCAGCAAATCACGCAGGACGAGGCTGTCCCTCTTTCTTTCGCAGAACAGCTGGTGGATTTGAACCCCGTGCCTTCGGGTTAGCATCTCAGCTCCTTCCAGCTGGTGCCCCACTGATGTCAGGACTGACTGTGCAGCAGGCGGGGCCAGGCTGCAGGCAGGCGGAGTGCGGCTATCAGTCCTGGTGCAGACACATGGTGGTGTGGGCATGGCCTCTGGCAAAGCTGGACCTGCTAGGCCGTCCAAGTGGGAAGGACACCCTCTCTTGTGCTGGGCAGGAGGAGGACGCAGTGCTCAGGGCGTGCAGGATCGCACCTCCCAGGCTCTGCATCCAGGATCGCACCTCCCAGGGTCTGCAGGGTGCTGGCAGGCACACACATCTGACCTCACTTGGGGTGTCTCTGCAGTGATTTACTCCCCAGGGCCGCCCTGGCTCCTTAATAATAACCACAAAGTAAAATCTTTAACCCGTTTCTCATCTTGACATGAATTTTGACTGGTCCCAATGCTGCAGGATAGAATTCAACTACCTCTTTGGACTCACAACTTGTTGGATCCTTTGGGCAGCAGAGTCTCTTGATCTCAAGTAGTTCAGAGAACTTTTACACAACCAGACACGTATGTCATAAGTGCATATTCTTGTAGGGACCATGCCAGCTGACAGACCTCATCACTGCAGACTGAAAGTGTGTATTCTTCATAGGTAGCAGGAGTAGGACAAGTTGATGCTCCAGCCCGAGAATCGGACGTGTTGCTGGCCAGAGTGTTCATGTTATGGTCAGACAGCTAATGTGGGTCCTGGTCAGGCATGGAACGTGCACCGTGGTTCTGTTTTTAAGTTGTGGAAATGCAATTTTTCCTTTTCCTTGTTCTGACCACGAGAGGGCAACCATGGGCTGCTCTCCTGGGTTGGCGGACACTATCGTCTATCTAAGAGGGACACTGGGCACTGGCTCTCTCTGGGTCAACGTGCAATAGCCTCCTCTCGGGTGACCTCTCGGAAACGAACCCTCTCTATCGAGATTACCCCCAGGAAAGGCATCATTTACTGATAATTCAGGGTTCAAGTCGCCAGGGTCCTGACTCTGCAGACCACGTTGGGTCCCTTTTGGTAAAGCTGCTTCTCTAAATAAGGACTACACACACACACACACACACACACACACACACAGTCTTCCTGAACAGAATGACACAGGAAGATGACCTGTATTTCTCTGATGGTCACTAATGAAGGATTAAGAAATTGTAAATTAGAGAAAAAAAAAAAAACAACCTAAAAAGAAAATTTGAAAAATTATAACTAAGATCTGAATTTTTAACAATATTATTTTCTTTCACGTGACTCACTATGTTCAAGATTAGTTCTTCTCATAGTGTATATGAGATTAAATTTATTTTATGCCTAACAGTCCATGTACTTGATCCAGAAGCTATTGATGCATATTTTTCCGTGTAAGGGTGCAGCACAGGAAGTATTTTCGTGTGCAACACTTGATTTGCGTCAGGGTCCCTCACAGGAATTATGTCCGTGTGCAACACCGGAACGTGTTTCCGGGCGCAGCACGGGAAGTATTTTTGGGTGCAACATTGGATGTTTGTCAAGGTCCGTAATCGGAATTATGTCCGTGTGCAACACCGCGATGTGTTTCCGTTTGTAGCACAGGAACTATTTTTGGGTGGAACACCAGATGTGTGTCTGGGTCAATCACGGGAATTATGTCCGTGTGCAACACCAGGATGTTTCCGGTTTTGGGTGGAACACCGGATGTGTGTCTGGGTCAATCACGGGAATTATGTCGGTGTGCAACACCAGGATGTTTCCGGGTGCAGCGTGGGAAGTCTTTTTGTGTGCAACACTGGATGTGTTTCCAGGTGCAGCACGGGAATTTTGTCCGTGTGCTACATCAGATGTTTCTGGGTCGGCACAGGAATTATGTCTTTGTGCAACACCAGGATATGATTCCGGGTGCAGCATGGGAACTATTTTCGGGTGCAAAACTGGATGTGTGTCTTGGTCCGTCACGGGAATTATGTCCGTGTCCCAATATATGTCCGGGTGCAGCACGGGAAGTATTTTGGTGTGCAACACCGGATGTTTGTCTTGGTCCAACACGGGAATTATGTCCGTCTACAACAACCGATGAATGTCTGGGTCCGTCATGGGCATTATGTCCGTGTACAACACCGGATGTGTGTCTGGGTCCCTCACAGGAATTAAGTCCGTGTGTGCAGTGGCTGATTTGTCTTTCTTGGTCCTGCATGGGAAACTTGCCTGGTTCCTGTATGGGATGTGTATCCCGGTTTTAGCCCTGTACTGGGTATTTATTCTTCTTCAGAATGCAAAGTGTGTCCCTGTCCTGTAGTGGATGGGTGCTCGGGCCAAGCCCAGGGAAAAATTTCCACGTGCAGAACCAGATGTGTGTCTTGGGTCCAGCCCTTAAGTATGTCTGCATCCTAGAGTGAATGGACATTCTCCTCCTGGGTGATTTAAAACCACTGAAAAAGCCCTGGCTGGTCAGTCGCGGGCCAGGTCTGGGTGTACAGAACATGGTCACAATATACAGTGAAGTCCACGATGAGTCAGGCATTTTTACAACAATTAGCACATCTGAGTGGCTTGGCCTCAACTTATGCTCAGTGGTCTTTTTTTTTTTGTAAAATTTTATTGTTTTAGGTCCCTCCCTTCCATGATAACACAAACTCAAGGATTCATCTGCAAGAGGAATTGCTTTGAGTCTTCTGAACATAATGCCCCTGGAAGGTCACCTGTCTTTTCTGTCATGGTCACCAGTGAGGGATTCAGAAACTACAACTAGAACCAGATTCTCTTCCAAAAACTCATTATAAAATACTTAATGAGATTCCTCCCCCCTTGTTATAGACATAGTCCTGTTTTTCTCCTAACAGGATGAATTATTCTTTTGCTATTTTTTTTTTTTTTGGAAACGGGAGGGAACAGCATAGTTAAAACAGATGAGCCCAAGCTTTTAGCAATATCTGCCATGCTTTAATGTGGTTTAGGGCCATTAACCATTCACATCCTGTACACTTATCCCTGTTATTAATTTCCAAGACTATCTGTCATTTGGAACACAAGCTGGTTCTTCTGCAGTCTCCTGTGCCTCCTTCCAGTTGTGTAGAGACATCTGCCTATGTTATGTCTGATTTACCTTCACCTATTCAAGATAAATCCATGTCACAGTACCTATGAGGACTTTGTTTCTTTGAGGATTGAGCGGCAGTCCATTTTCTTAGTCGTGCATCAGTTGAGGCACCTTCTTGCTCCCTCCCCACTCTTCTTCTGCTATGAGAGTGTTACTAGGGACCTGGAGGTGAAAATACCTCACCCTGCTTTCAGATATTTTGCTTATGTACCTATTGTTATTTTTGGACAATACAGAGGACATTTTCGATTCATGTTGTCTTGTTAGACATTAAATGCTCAATCATGGACTAATTGTTGTAATATTTTTAAGAAGGCAGGCATTTTCCCACAAGAGCTGAATGAGCCATGTGAGAATCAAAAAAGCAAAAGTTTTGCAGGCAGCCCACCTCCAGTTTGCTGAGCGGTGGACTGAAGTGGTTATCTCTTGTTGCATGATTTGCAAGTCTCTGATGACTCATCAGGGAGGGAGTTTTGGTGGCTCAAAGGTAAAATCAGAATAGAGGCCGGCAGGCATTCTCAGTTCTGTCTCTCCCTTGCTGTACGTTGCCCTATTTAACAATCTGTTGTTCAAAACTTGTAGTTAGGTGTCACTATGACTCACAGAGATTCAATGAACAATGGATCTGAAGGTTGCCCCATCCGCTTAAGGGTCATTTTCTCTTTCTCTGATCCTCCACTTCCAAGCATGATGTCTTTTTCCCCAAGGAAACATAACAACATAATCTCCCATCCTTGCATTCATTCTTCCTCCGTCATCCTTCATTGGAAGAAGATGAAAGACCATGGCTTGGATCAGGCACACCTGAAATTCCACGGGCATCGTTACTCTTTAGCAACTTGGTACAAGTATGAATAAAGTAATTGATCCTCTCGTTTTAAAAACTTCAAAAGTCTAGGTTAAAAAATGCAGAAAAAAAGATGGTCTGTCTCCTCTCATGCAGTTTACAGCTTCAGAAAACCCACTGACAGCTAGCTCATCAGGGACTTGGTTCTGCGTCATTAACAAAAATATAATCTGGTTGCACATTTCTCCTTTCTGTGGTTCCACATTTCTGTGCAAGTCTGTAGCACAAAGAATGCTGGGATGCCCTGCCTGGTCACACTTTCCTCCAGGGTCCTGGATCCTGGAAGAACAGACTTGGTTTGCACAGTCTGAGCCCACCTCCTGGAGAAAAATACTGGAGACGAATAGAAGAACAATTACAAAAGTTAAGCCATGCTGGAGATGAGAAAGGTACAAGTCCTTGTTCTGTGGCATCTTTCTGTCCAGAAAGCCTATTCAGTTCATAAATGTAGGATGAAAAGCCAGGCTTACAGAAATAAAGCTGCCTGGCACTAGCAATAGCAAAACCCCAAAGGAGGTTTTTTTTTTGGTGGTTGTTGTTGCTGGTTTTTTTTTTTCAACTCTGTCTGGTGGTTCAAATCCACAAGCAGCTCAGGACAGGAGGAAGCTGTACCCACCACCCTTGGATGGACAGCTCTGAGTCCTTTCCAACTGCATGAAGAGATATGTTTTGGAGATGATGCAACAGGAGTGCTCTTTGGAGGCAAGAATGACGAGGCTTTAATTCGCCTATTTTGGACATGTTGCTCGGAGGTGCTATTCCTTGGAGAGGGACACGATGTTGTGAAGGGTGGCGGGTTGGTGAAGGAGAGGAAAATCCTCAACCAAGTGAAATCAGACTGCTGCCATGGGCTCTTTTGGGGCAGGTAGTGTGAAGATGGTGCAGGACAGGACTGGATTCAGGTCTTTTGTTCAGAGGTTCACTAGGAGTCGCACTCAACTCGACAGGACCCAAGAACAACGAAGTTAAGAATCACACTTAATAATTTCCGCAATGTAGTTACCTGTGCAGGAGACATGATTCTCTCCTGAATGACTGAAGCGCTTGCATCTGTGCCCCAGGGTCTCCAGGGAAGCAGAGGGGGACGGTCTGGAATTGGAAGTCATAGGCTGAAGTCAGACCTTGGAAGGGTGGGAGCTGTGCAGTTGAACTCAGTTTTGGAGCCTACCTGTGGGTGAAGTCAAATGATAAAGTTCGTGGGATTTGCAGGCAGATGTGGGGGTGGAGCAGCCCACTGAGGGGAGGAGAGGTCATTAACTCAGGCAAAATAGGGGAGCTAGGGATGGGGTTCAGGCCAGTCTCTCATCTGCTAAAGTGTGTCCAGCTAACTAAAGGACAGACATCTCTATCTCTACAAATCCACCTCTTCTATAGAGGGGAAAGATAAACATTTTTAGCATATTTGGTTTAAAGCCTTAGAAACCAGATTGGGGGTGGTGGTGCAGTAGTGATTGGGAACCAACTTGAAAGCAGTGAATGCTTCAGTATACAGCAGGTCTGGAACTT